CAAAATGAAATGACTGAAGCTCTTTTTAGACCTTTTTTAATATGTTTCATCCAGGGTAGGCTAGCAGAGCAAAGTGCTCTATTCAGCCACATCCTGCACCACATTAGCACTCCGCTGATATACCTTGATTCATACTCAAGGTGGGCAAACAAAGGATCGGTTTGGTCATTTAAGATATCTTACTATTTGGAAGAAAATGCCATTTTCACAGTGGACGAGATTGAGGTTTTTGACCTTGTGTAGTTATCTATCCTTTCAGGGTGAAAATATGTTAATAGAAGTGTGGCATTTTCATTTAATTTCCTCAAGAATGTGGCCTCATACTAACTGCGCTTGTATGGACATAAAGTCAAGGCCACAGCTCTCAATTTTTTGTTCTTTGGATAAAATGTATCTTAGCCACTGTATTGTTTAAAGCCCACATTTTAACTTTGGGCGACATAAGTTGACGTGATTTAAAGCGAAGTTATTTTCAAGTTAATCATGAAGGAGGATGTATAAAATTCTGTAAAGTAAATGTAAGTGTTGTCTGAATATATTGTTTTATGCTCTAATGCTGAGGTAAATACTTTAGTGTAATGTATTTTGGAAATGTTTGCAAAACATCTTTCATACAGCTGAAAACCTTTTTTAAAGCCTGATTCAAGCGCTGCCTTTTGAACTACTCAGATAAAACTGATGCACTATATTGGAGCATTATTGATTATTACTACAAACTAGTTGGCATCAATAAATCAAAGGATTGATGTTGAATGAGCATAACTCACTATGATATTTTAGAGCTGATATTTTGTTAATAAATACAACATGCTGAGGGGAGTTGAGTGTTCCTAAAGAAACAACACTACCTATGATGTTAGCTCAGTAAATATTATTATTCTTAATATGCTCATCTGTCTTTGGCATATCCATATCCATATTTATAAAGTGTGCCCTTGATGAGATTTGCCAAATAGCTCCAGCGGCCAAACCAAACAGGACTCGAGGCCGGCGAGCAATGTACATGGGATGTTGTAATAGGGCCGGCACACTGTGTTCTGTGTTACAGTCCAGCAATAAATCACTTTCTCTGAAGGGGACTGAGCAACTTTAAAACACACAAGGGCCACACAATTTCTTATCCTAAAGGCCCCGAAGAAGCTCCAAAGGACCTGGCTGCTATTGAAAGCAAAATGCTTTATGCTTTGGTTTCCACAGAACATTTAACATCACGTCTGGAAAATTGTTTTAGCTGGTCCCGAGTGGAGTAGAAAGGTGCTTGTTTGTCCCCTGAAGCTTGCACCTCTGACTGAATCCTGCATAGACACAAGAAAGTGACTGCCAGTATTGGCTTTATAGAAGTTCACTAAACACATTTTGATTGTTTAAGGTGGGAGTGTGTGAAGGCTCTTTGAAGTGCACTCCGCCCTGACCTCTGATCCTTGAGTTAAAGAGGGTCCCTTAGAAGCCCATCCTCGGCTCATAGTTGACCAAAAGAAAAGACTGGTGACCATTTGTGGTTACCGTTTTACAGACATGTAGTTATTACAATTACTGTGGATATGTAACATGCATGTGAGAATTCAGTGGGATGTGATTTTCATATTGATAACTTTGACCGACCGGTCAGACTCCCGAAGTGTTTGTACATATTGCATCAGTTGAGCTTCATCTTATTAGTTGAGACATAACTTTAGAGCGCGATGACCAGCATCGCAGTTTGGGCCAGATCCACGCCGAGCTTTTTCAACTCAAGAGAAACTGAAGGGAATTATTGAAGAGTTTATTCTCTGTGATGTAAAAGACTGGACTGACTTACTTTCTTGCTCTAACTGTTGTTCTTGTTACATCTTGCAATGTATATAATAATGCAGCACATTCAGTTTTTCAGTGTGTACTTAATAGTCTGTCCAACTTGCCTTTTTATGGCACCTTTAGTTTTGTATGATGAAAATGATATTACAGCTTTTTAACATATTGTGTATTTTGTAAAATATATAAAAGTCTTGTAAAGCAGATTCTCTATTAAGAGCTTAAACTTGTGACTCATATCATGGTGTAGAACTGTAACAAGGAAGGAATTTGTTTAATAAACTAAATAAGGAGGAATATAGATTTTTGTGAGGATTAAGCGGTGTGTAGATAATGGATGGAGGAATATAGATTTTTGGGTTCAGATGAAGGGAAGAACCAGGCCGTCTCAGAAAGAGGAGTGGGGATTCTGTTAGTATATCCTTAGCAGTGAAGTAAAACTTGCATTCGTAGGCGACATTAATGTGTTTCTCATAGGTGTGAATAGTCAGTCCACCACTGTTACTTCTGTTGTTAAAACCTCCCTTTTTCTGGGGCTTGACAAAAAATTCACTTCATTGTTCTTGTTACCAATTGGCTGGCAGGAAAGCAGGAAACTTAGAAGCAAACGCGGCTTATTTTTAGAACTCCTGTATGGTATTTTGATGATCTGATCAATCACTGCCAGAGCCAGGAACAAACAGGCGATGCTTGAAAGTGAAGTGAAGTGGAACTGTCGGAAATCATGATTGATATGTCACATGGCAGAAATGTTCTCACGAGGAATGATAAATAATGTAAAGGATTTGTGTTCCAGCTGAGAAATTATTTCAGTTTCTTCTCCCTTCTATCCATTTCTATTTGGTGGTCGGAGATTTTAGAAGTCTTAGACATTAAAAGAGGAGGAAGTGCGTGTGTGTTTGTATGTAGATGAGTGTAAAGTAAAAAAAAAAAAAAAAGCATGGGATGTGTTTTTTTTTTTTGCGCTGACCAGAGCAAATCCCAGTTAAACCCCAGCATGCTAATAATACAGCTCTCATCCATCACCACAGACAACAACCAATTAGTGCATTCCTCTTTCCCCTTTTTCTCATGTTCTTGGCTAACCCCTCAATAATTTTGGATCATTCATCAAAAAACTGAAACACATTCAAGATGCTGTGTGTGTGTTTTTAGTGTGCGAGGAATCAAAGGAATGTTTATTGTGGAGTGATTTTATTTTTGCGGTGCTCAGTGGAAACAGAGGCCAGTGTCAGTGTTAACACTGATTTACACTAACTGACTGATGTCCGTGATCTATCTGAATGGGTCAACACGAATCGGCCAACTCTCATACGTGATCGTCCTTCTGATCTGGGTTGAACGTGAGTTGAACAAAGTGTGTGTGTATTGGCAAAAGGAGAGACACGAAATTACACTTGGAGGAACTTCATCCAGTGATCATGTATTGTTATTCTGTTGAGTTTTATGGTTTAGCAGTGACGTATGTGTAATTGCACTGCAAAGGGGAGTGTCTGTTAACAGTGACAACCACTGATTAACCTGTGAAAGGTTTAAAGCTTTCTTTTAAAAGAAAGTAAAAGTCCAATAGTATACAGCAAACAATTACGGTGCAATTAAATTTAACCAAACCTATAATGGTCAACTCTTAATCTAGATATGTCTTGCCAGAACCTGTACAATGAATCCTAATAAAACAATATTGTTTAAAGCTTATATTATTTTTAGTATATCTCATGAAAATTTACATGAAAAATAACTCAGATCATATGTTTTTACCGCTAAGCAGAAACTATTAATAAATGCAACAAATGCAAGACTGATAGAAGTCTTCTGTCTAATGTGAATGAATTTATTGACAAATGTAATAGTCAGTTTGGTCGTCAAATGTGCTTACAAAATGGTTACGATCACATAAATCATACATAAGGTTCAGTTTAACATCCATCTTTAAAGCTGGGCGGAGGCATGAAAGTTTACTGAAAGTTTATAGTTTTGTTATTTTTATTTTTTATTTTTTTGCATTCTTTTGCTAAAGATCTTTCTATCTACCCCTAATGTGATCCTACAGGTGTGGAAAATAAGAGTGACCCATTTTCCCACCAAAGCTGAGCAGTGTCATACTTGTATTCAACACCTAGGAAAAGGGTCATAAAGCCATATTGAAATGTGTGTTGACCTACTCACACCAACAACAAACACAGGTTTATCCGAGTCCCTGCTTCGGGGTATCAGTCTATCAGCCTGAGTCCTGCGGTTTGCTGTATTCTCTTCCTGAGGCCACCCACAGCGCTGCAGCCTGGCCAGCACTAGACTGAAGTGGGCAGGATCATACTATCTGACCTTCTACCTCTCTGGATTACACAGAAATCCCTTCTCACGCTGTCACAGTCTTGCCTCTGACAGATACACATTTGGGAACACACTAGTACATATACAATAAACATACATGCTTTCTACACGGACATCCCAGAGGACATTTATCAGGGTTAATCTCCACCAGTGATAAGTCTGCTGTTAATGCGTTCTGTCTCAGCAGGGTCTGTGCAATTTTTCTAGTTTTTGATGACTGAGAGAAATGTTTTTCTGCACTAGTTTGTGTGCAAAAATTTGGGGTTTTTTCATATATGTGTTGGAATAGAAATATGTGCATGTATATGCATTTGTCAACCTGTGAGTAATGGTTTTTCAGCCAGATGAATGTAATGCCACTTGGATACCTGAGCCAGACTTTTTCCATAGCGACGCCTGGGGATCACATGTCCCTCCAGTCTCTGTGGTATGCACTAACAGACAGAGCTGCCAGGAGAGGGGTCCTGGGTGAAAACGGCTCAGGATAAAAACAAGCCAACGATAGTCCGCCACTGAAATAGCCCAAGTGCCACCCCTCTTTCTCAGAATCCTGCTGCAGGGCTGACGGCAGTGATTTAGATACTCCTTTCATAGTCTCAAATCTGACTGCCAGCCTTGTGTTCAGTTTGTTTCAGTCCTGCAATTACCATTCTCTTAAACTTTCCGCTGCTGTTTAAGCTCAGCACACAGTTGTCAAACTTTGTTCATATATAGATATATAAACGCTGTAATTTCAATTCGGTCATGTCACTCTTTGCTGGAAAGCCGTGGTGTGGATTTGCACCGTTAAAGATGTTTGTTTTTATGTGACAAAAATATGATGACTTCTCCTTTATGTGACAGTGATATATGACTTCTCCCTCTTTTTCCCTTTTCAGGACTCCATGGATGAAGCATGTGCTGAGAGGATTGGTGACGAACACTATCGTTTAGAAGGTAGGCCTTCTGCTCTTCATTGACGTGTCCTACACCAGCTCATTTTTTTTAGATTTTCTTCCCGTCTGTAGTGAAATTCACTAGTCTAGTGTTTGATTTGAATAAAAATCTGCAAAAATACGATTTGGAATTTCTCTTCAAGTACTTGTGTGGCTCTTTGAATCAGTGGTTCATCCTTTCCCCCCGTGCTCCACACCCATTCTCAAAGCCCCAGCAATGTGCTGATGAGGTCCCCTTTACCTTCCCTCCTGCCTCTCCGCCTCCTTCATCTCTCGTCCGCCCCTCCCCAGCGGTGCTCTGCAAAGTGCCTCCATTCCTCCATGTTTTTTCCCTGATGTGATGTGATCCTGGATTAAGAGCTCTGGGAGGAGAAAGTCTCTCCCTCCCATTTAAAGACAGGATTGGACGTGAGGTGCAGGCAAAAATACTGAGCTGAGCAAGACCGGCCCAGAATTTGGAAGCAGAAAATTCACTTTTATTTCAGTTGAGCTTTGCTGGACAATAGCAGAGAGACAAAAGATAATGTGGCTGATTAATAGAGTTTAAAAGGATTTTTAGTCCTTGGGCTGGACCTGTGTCTGGGCCGGGCTTGTCCTCCCCTCAAGACAGATGTTGCTAATTAGAGTAAGCAGCTCCATTCATTCACGATGATTAACAGGGAAAGAGCTCCATAACTTGCTGGAATAAAAGACTAGTTTATGTGTAAATATTTCCATAATATTGACATAAAAATTTTGTTTTTCATGCTCATATTTCATCTAGGAAGTGAGGTGTTCTGATTGAGAAATGTCAGTGCCAGAATTTTTTTAATTGAAATCTCAGTTGGTAGGGTAGGCAACGGTGATTGGAGCATGGATTGCTGAAATTGTTTAACATGTTTAATATTTTCACCTCTTTCAGTGAATGCAGTTTTATATTTATACTGTTCTTTATTTCAGTTTGGAATCAACTGTCTTCATGTTCACATAGCAAGACATTTTGTACCTCTTCAGGCACACTAAGTCCCAAACAAAGACAGCTGTGCAGGATTTATGACGTCAACGGCATGAACTACATTTAGTGCAATGATCAGATGTCTTGTCCATAGATTTTACAAAGTGGAGTAAAGTAAAAGTGAGCGAGAAAACAGAGAGACAGCAGACACAATAGGACAGCCAACACACATGAAAGACTTACTTCATCTGAGTATAAGTAAGCACGTCCAAAGAAAGTTTTGTGGGGATTAAAAAAGAACTTTAGCGCAAAATTTGCAAAGGCGAGAAGAAGGGCTCAATGATGAAAGTGTCTTAAGGATGCTTTACATCAGTACAGCTGGCATTCAAGAAGAATAGCCTGCACAGGCTTTTTATTAGGCTCTTTTAACCTTTTGTGAACAAGTGATGAGAGTCCTGTTCACCAGCCACTTCTTTCAGATTACAAGCATAGTGCGTGTTCATAGGTGGGATACCAGGTAGGTACTGTTGGTCACAAAATAACTAAACTGCTAGATTATCATTTGCTTTTTAGTTGAGAAAAATTTTTTTACCTTTGTCACAAAAACCATCTCATCCTAGTAAATCCCAGTACTCGGCACTCTGTTGCCTGCATGTACGAGGGGGGACAGGCCCAGTTATGTGTAATACAGTATCCTAGCTAAGCCGGGTGTGATTGCTCTCAGTGTGTGGCAGCTTTCCCAACCTGCCTGTGTTTTTGTGTGTGTGTGTGTATAAAGTGTATGCATGCACGTGCTTAGCAGAGCTGCTGGAACGGACTTGGCATGGAGGGTGCCAGCCTCGGCTGCCCTCGTCTTGCCCCTCAGATCTGATGTGCAGCCAATCCCCTGGCGGCAGCTTCACTCATAAAGAGCCGGCTTATGTCTGTGATGGGGAGGGGGTCAGAGGGGGAGGAGGGTGATAGCAGATTACTGTTACTCCTCCCGGCATTTCATTAGCTCCAAGATAAGCATCTCACCACCATATTGAGCCTGCTACGGAACAGATTTGCCCTCGCACACAATGTTCCCTTTGAGCACCTCAGATGATCAAACAGCAGGACCCCAAATGCTGCTCCTCTCCAAAAAGTTGGTAAAAGCTCCCTGGGATGATGCCTTTCATTTCTGGCATTTTCCCCTACCCAGGGATGAGACAGGTCTGCTTTGATCTGCTTTGGATCAGGAGGAAAGAAATTGGGCTGTTGTGTCTGCTCCGTTGGCGAGCAAACAAACAGTGTTTCAGATTTGACTTGGCTTAATTAATTAGTGATTCTGTTTTACAGCCGGTCTGATCCTCTTCCAAAAGGTTTGAGAATGGAACTTCAAAGTGTGGCGGGAGGAGAGAGAAGCGGAGATAGGGGGTGGAGAGAGGGGTGTGGTCTGTGTTGCTTTCTGAGCGGCCTGCAGGGCTGTGATTGGTTGGGGAGGGGCACTAAATGACCAGCGGTGAAACACACGGGATCTGTGGCTAACTAAAGGCCAGAACAAGCTTCTGCCAAAAATACACAAACATCTATGAGGATGAAGCAAGGATGTGTCTGGGTAACTGTAACTCATAGAGGCTTGTAAAGGAGCCGACATGTACACCTCCCAAATCTCAGTTACATGTTGTATGTCTCTGCGGTCTCATGTGTCAAACAAATGCTGGATTTCAAAGCAGAGAAGGATATCCGGTAGCATTAGATCTGGGCTAAGATCCAACTCTGAAACTAAAACATTGAACTAGACAGAGACAGTCACACTATTTTTGTGCTACCAGGGTGGGCACCCTTATAGTGTAATCCAAGAAATACATCACCTTTTACTGTGACCTCAGACGTGTTGAATCAACACCTGTTTTAGACATTAAAATACATTAAAGGTGACAAACATTTGCATTACTCTAATTGTATTAGTAAAGTGTGTTTTTTTGTCTCCCCTTTGTGACCCTTTTGTGTCACCCTCTGGAGTAATTGGGCTCATGTCGTGGACTCTGTCATGGCACACAGAGGTCTTTCCTCCGTTCACTGATTCGGGGTCTGACAGCTTATATCGCCACGACGTTCTCACTTTAAACCCTGTCAAGAAAGATCTGTGTTTCGTACAGCTTAGTGCAGTGAAAGCATCACTGACTTCTGTGATAAGGGAAACCTACACAGGTGGGTCTGGCAGTCAGTTTAACTGGTTAAGTGCATGTGACAGATTAGTACTCCCCGCGGACTTTTTGACTACACTGTAAATCTGGATGGTAATGTATGGTAAATGTCATTCCAATAAAGTGATGAGCTTTACTGCAGCGAGTCGGGGACTCGGGGGCCTCCTATAGACCTTTTGATGTTCACACGCTGTTTCAGTTCCACCATTTATATTCAAGTGCCAATTGCCATATACTATCATGTTTTAGGCATGTTCTGCCATTCGGTTTCATGTTTAACATCCCCTCTCAGTGTGAACCCATTGGGATATATATACTTCAGCTAAGAGCTGAAAAACCATTACTATGTGTGTGGGTGATGGAGGAGCTTTTGCCATTGGAGAATTAGTGCTGTCACAGTTTCCACATCTCTTCGTTTTGCATTGGGTTGTCGTTGTGGATTCCAGCTCCAGCCTTAATAGCACTGTTTTGATTCGACAGGACTTCTGCTCTCTGGAATGATGCAACAACGAACTTGTTACCTAACATGAAACATTGCAAAACCAAGACGCAGATTCAGAAGTGTAATTAGAGAACGATTTCTCAATTCTGGTACCACATGTGTATTCCAGTACTGGTGGAAGCGTCTTACAACGTCTATAAAAAAGAAAAAGAATCATATTCTTGGATTTTAAACTCTCTTGTGACTTGACCTCACGCTGTCATGGATTGGTTTGCTCTGATTGCTAACATGAAATGTTCCAAAGAACATTTTTGAACTGTGAGAACCAAACTGTGCTTTGATTTTCTTCAGCCTCCGAGAGTGATCACAGATACAGTAGATGCAGTTCAGTGGAAGTGAGCAGCCCAACAAAATCTAAATAACGACCCCTGATTTGTGAGTTTGGATACTGTGTATGTATTACTCATGCTAAGCCCATCAAAGTTCTGTGCTGCTGCTACTAAACATGATAACATAAATATAAGAATGCAATTTCAGAATACAAGCAGTGAGACAAACACTGCGAGGACTTTGACTGTGTAACTTTATTTGCAACCAGGAGCACTTGAATGTGTGACACATCTTAATTGCGGCTGCCAAACTAGGAAGCAGGAGCTTACAAGGAACATTTGAAGGCAACGACATATCCTCAGGTTATGACTGCACCCAACGTCTCCATCCTCAGGCTCTCTCTTTTATCTTTGTGCTCGTGTGTGTGTGTCATTGCAGTGGCTTTACCCCCGGAGAAGACAGACAGCTGCTGTGTGGAGGAGAAGATGCAGGAGAGGGGCAGCCAATCTCCCGCAGGGCCACAGAAACAGCTCCAGTTTGAAGTGAGTGTCAACACAGAACGGGACGTTTATTACTTCCCCCTCTGGATGAAACTAGGGCAGTGGCCTGACACACACACAAATACACACTCACATACACACTGTATGATGCTGAGTTCAATGCTGTGCCGTTTCAGGAGTTGGAGTGTGCTGTGTCTGTGGAGGAGGATAACCGGCAGGAGTGGACCTTCACCCTCTATGACTTTGACAACAACGGCAAAGTTACCAGAGAGGTAAAACGCGTCTGTTCCAAACAGTAATTTATCTGTAGATGTAAAATTTGATTAATTAATGAATGAACAAATATATATGATGAACATGCCAAAAATGTGTAGTCACTTTACTTGCTCATTTTGGCAATTTTCTGTACATTTTCATTGCATTAACACAAATGGCACAATATGAAAGAAACATAGATTTTAAGTGATTACCACAGAAAAAGACTGGCCAGCAGCTTTACTTTTTCAAAACAACATTCCACCTTAGCCTGGAGAGGAATCAATAACTTCCCTGTTCACTTTCTCTGGTGTCACCACACCCAAAAGGAAAGTGAGGAAAGAAGAAGCCTCCAATCCAGTCTCACTCCTAAGAACCGAATCCAGCAAAGTCTGCGTGTTTCCGCTCCTGTGAGGCACCTTGTGGCTTGCGTCTGCCTGGTACAGATCTGAGAGAACATCCAGAAAGGCCCGTGTTTTTTGAGAACAACTTGAAACAGCGCAAAGAGACTGGAGCTGTCCTCTGTGTGGTTGGCTGTGCAGTTTTTTTGGCATTGCCTGTGGCTCCACGGCTCATGAGACGGCAGGCGGCGGCTTGGAGGGGGAAAGAAAAGCTTTCTTCTCCAGCTCTTTTTTTTTAATCCCTTCACACAAATAAAAAAGAGAAGGAAACCAAAAATGACACAGGAAGCTTTTATTTTATTTTATTTATTTTTTTATTTTTTTTCACTGTTCGTCTATGTTTGAAACTAGTATGTGGAGCCGGTCCCTGAAGAATTCATAATAGTCCTTTTTATGAGTCAGAGTGGTATAGTGAGCAAAAATCATGCTATTGCAGCCTTTGTGTGGCGTCGACTTCATTCTCAGCACTTCTGTCAAAGGAGCTCTTATGGTAAAGCTGTTTTACTTCCTAAAGTAAAACACTAAAGACATTTGAGATGAACTGCACGACATGAGTCAGTTAATTTTACTTCCATACCAGATGAACTTTTTATGGACAATCAGAATTTGGTTTGCTATGAAAAGATCCAACGCAGTTGCCAACACCCAAGAGGGAGTCATTAGCTCAATACGGTGCATAAAAACACTCATCAGTGCAAAATAGCGCTTCTAAACAATCACAGGAGACGGCACGGTTTTATGGAAATTGAACAGTTCAAATGTGGTCACTTACCTCGCTCTGAAGTGAGCATTTTTAATTAGAAAGTGAAAATTGTTTTATTTTTCTTTGTTTCTGTTTATTTTTGTTGGTTGGTGATCTGTTCTTTTCTCACACTGAGGTCTTATAGTAACCTTAAGTTACATGACACAATATACAATACACGCTTGTGTGTGTTTGAGGTCATGTACACATGCCCATGTCTCATTTATTTGAAAGTGTGCACAGATGTTAGTCCCTATGCAGATGTAATTTCAACCATTTAGGAGACATTTGGGAGTTAGATGGGGAAAGTGTGGCGCTCCCAGCTGTAACACGACACATATCAGGCCTGACAGCTAAGTCAGCCTTCTCTGCTACTGCCAAGACGTTTGTTTTTATGAATTTATAACTTGTCTTTACACCCTGCCTGATCGCTACACTTGGAAAGCTGAAACAACTGATGTCAGTGTTTTTCTCTGTTCGCTGTTGTCTAAGTCACTTCTCTAAATTCCTAGCTAGCATGATATTTATTATGCATGGTTTTAATGCGTAAAGCCACAGATTCTTGGATTCACAGTGCAGTCATATTCATCTCCTGTGCTACTTTTCTCTTGATTTTTTCCCCATCAAATATGTGTACTGAAAATCTCTCTTCATCAAATTCAATGAGAATCAACAAGATTTTTTTTTTTCAAATATTTGCTGTAAAGCTAGACTTAACCAATCCTTACCATCTCTTTCTTGCAGGACATCACCAGCCTGCTCCACACCATCTACGAGGTTGTAGACGCCTCCGTCAACCATTCTCCCGGCAGCAGCAAGACGTTGCGGGTCAAACTCTCTGTGGCTCCTGACTCCAGCCAGCGGTGGAGGAGTTGTACACAGGGTGCGGCAGGTAAAGCTCGCATTAACACAGTGGGTGGGAGCGAAGGAGAAGAAAGGGCATTTTGGGGTCCCCCTTGTGTTGCCTGCTGTCAGCTCACCCAGAGATGTGTTTGTTGTCATGCAGAAAGGCGGCTCCTTCAGGCCTGTCAGAGCTTTGTTCCTCGCAGTCTCGGCGTCGCTCCATCTCTCCCACTCAATGGGGTTCATTTTTAATGATGGGGGGAGTGACAGAGCCAAGAGAGGGCCCCCTCCCTCAGCGCCTTCAAATACTCTGAAAGAAACCTTAAGAGATGTGCCGAGTCCTTTTGATAACCACAGCCATTTTTCTTTTCTCCAAAGTTCCCTTTTTTCCCCTCTGCTCCCCCTCGCTTCGTCCCCCCTTCTCAGAGCTGCCGGGAAAATATAGCTGCGTTCAACTTAACTTTTCTCACTGACGACTTGGTAAACAAGTAGTCAGGGAAAAATATCTCAAAAAGTATATATTCCTGCGTGCTTGCGTCCCATTGTTTCGACTATAAATATCTGTCAAGAGATTCAGACAGAGCAAGCTTTGAAAATATTGCCGGTTGCCTTCATGCTAATTTCAAACTGCATCAGATCTCACGTCCTTAATAAACTATTTCTGAAGTCTGCATGTTTTTTATTTCATTCCACGCCTTATAAGAGGCTGAGAGTTGAAAATAGAATAAATGAAGCATTGTTGTTTTTCCTTTTCTATAGATCTTCAAAGTAAAACCCCAAAACAAAGGTTGCTTTCTTCTGAGGCTTGTGTGACTGTTGTCGTGTGTCTGTGTGTGCGTATGTGTGGTTGCTCTGTGTTGCTCTCTTTGATAATAGCCTCCTGTCTTTCACACATACACAGACTTGCCCCACCCCAGAGAGAAAAATGACAAGTGCATCGAAGACCCCAAGAGTGCAGACAAGAAGTCTCGAGCACTCCTAAGGTAAACCCACCTCCCCTGAACACTTCAGTCTCTATTGCTCGTGGTGTGCACAAGGAGAAGAAGAATATTACTTTTTTTTATGATTTAACATCCACTTCTTGAAACAGAAAACAACTTTCCCATAAAACGTGTCAGTGGCAGCGGTTGTTAAAGGATGAATTCACACTCGGGTTGAGTAACAGTCCGCAGTTCTTTAATTAGTTTTTTTTCCCAAATTTACCTCCACTGCACTAACGAGGAGTAAAAAGAGTCAGCAACGAGTCAGCTCTCTCACTGTGCTCTTGAAGTACTCCCAAGTTGTGCTTCCAACCTGTGATTTTCCAATCACAATCTCACTCCTCTAACAATTACTCTGCCACTGCCTGATCATAAGGAACACTTGTTTTACTTTCTCCAAACACTACCATAGTGAACCTCACTGGCCCAAACTGCTACCTAATGAGAGGTGCCGCTTGTGTCCGCAGGCGCCACCACAGTGACCACCACACCCAGCCTGGCTGCCAGCGCCACTGTGTGGATGAGAACCTGGAACGCAGGAACCACTACTTGGACCTGGCAGGCATTGAAAACTACACGTCCCGCTTCGGAGCCGGTGAGTGGACCGGGGCCAGAGGGGGGGGAGAGGGGAGGGAGAAATGCAGACCGTGGCCCTTTGAAGCTGCATCCAGGGGCCCTCATTACTGCGGCACCTGCTTGGAGCCATTAGGTGGAACTACCAGCCCACTGCGCTCCTCGCCAGTACAAACATCTGGGCTCAGGCAAGCACAATACATCAAGTGTTCAAGGCTAAAGCCCATCAACAGAACGGGCTGTTGTGAAGTGAAATATTAGGTCTAATAAGCAGCGGCCTTGATCTGATGGTCAGTGATGACATGCAATTATTTTAATGTTGCTTTTGTCAGGAAAGTGGTAACAGAGATCTGCTCTGTGTCAGAGTTATCTGCTTGGAGAGAGATCCTGAAATGAGGTTGCCAGAATCGTATCGTGTAACTTTTGAGTGGAACTTTATTAGAAAGCTGTTCACACAGTAATTTGCACATCATGGTATATTTTTCTCTGCTTCTTAAACGTTTTTTTTACTACTTTGCCTTTATTTAGATAGCACCGTAAAGATAGACAGGAAATCTGAGGAAAGAGAGCACTAGAATAACATAGAGCAAACCAGGGGCTCAGCTGCTAAGAGCATTTTAATCCATGTGGTGTGTGGTGTGTCCACTCTGTCATCGAGTTGCCTCAACTTTTTTCTTGGTTTGGGTTTTGAGTGTCTATATAATAGATTTTGACTGTGAACACCAGCTCTGTAACAGCCTTGTTTGTTTGCAGTTGTTTAAAGTAAACAAATGTTTCTCCCTCCATCACAGCACCTGCTGCAGAGCCAACGAAAGCAGAGCCTCAGACCCGGTCGTCCAACCAGACTCGTTCTCGCTCCCATGAACCAGAAAATGGCCACTCCCATTCCCACCACCGCCGGCTGCAGACTGTTGTGGACACTGTTGCTCCAGACAGCCTCCATCCCGCCCGGCCGCGAGGCCAAGACTCAGGGAAACATGCCCTCCGTTCTCCGAAGACCCACAGCCGCACACCTCCTGCACAGATCAGTGGCAGGGTGATGAGGAGCCGAGGGGTCCCCCCTCCTCCGGCCCTAGTTAGCCAGACCCCTCCTCATCAGTCCGCAGCCCCCTACCGCAAACACAAACAGCGGTCCAAGGAGAGCCAGGCCTACCGGGCTTTAGGCTCTCTGGCAGCTCAAGGACCAGTGGTGGAGAAAGAACAGGTGAGAGACCTGCCCAGCGTGTTGCTCTATGACGGGGGGCTGGCCCAAGTGGTGCAACGGCATGAACATCACCATCACCATGAACATCATCACCACTACCACCACTTTTACCAGTCCTGAATTTCCACCCTGCCTGGGACAGCTCAGCACTTCTGCAGCCCCACAGAGCCCAACCAGGCCAGCAGACACTGACTGCTGGGAGCTTCCTCCTCTCAACACTGTTCCGTCAGCCCTGCTATGGCATTGTAGTGGACACAGGACATGGGAAGGAGAGGGGGATCATGGAAAGGGCTTCCCAGTGCTGAGATGTTATTAATCAGTGTTATGAAGAGGTTGTTCACACATACAGAAGTTCAGGTATGCAGCAGGACAGTGATTCAGGGCCATGAGGATCACGGTGGGGTTCGAGAGGAGGCACAGTGGGACCGTTTTAATAAATAACTCAGATGTTCCTCTCCCCCGGCACAGTGATCCTCCACCTGATGAACTATACGTCTCCAAACCAGCACCATAGCCCTTCCAGACCACTAAGCCAAAAGGTTTTTAAGGAGAAGGAGGGACAAGAGGAAGAAAGACTGTGATGTAAAGATGAACATATATGAAGGAACTTGGTGATAGGAGAGCAGGGCGTAGTGTGTGTGTATGTGTGTGTGTGTGTAAAACATTGTGTGAATGTGTGAGCGTAGCAAACGTTGAGTGAGCGTGTGTGTCTGAGTGTCACGACACTGGTGTCTGTAGAAAACCACTCAAAGTGCGCTCATGGGTGCATGAGTATTTAAAGCAGGCTGTCAAGCGGGTTTTTGAAGATGAAAACGAAGATTCTGATTTAAGCACGCAATACCCCCTGAGCAAAAATGGGAAGGAAAATGTTGAAATGTAAAGTTAAAAAAAAAAGAAGGAGACAGATCCCAAATCCGCTGCTACCTCTAATTTTATCCTAATTGTTGTTGTAATGGTGATTTTGAATAAGCGTTCAGAGGTTATTTTCAAATTACTTCAAAACTTTTTTGAAAGAAGAGAAGTCATGTCACAATCTGCAGTACTGAAATGTCGAAAAGCTCCTTACATTTATTAACTAACATTTGCTGTACATAAGGTATATATTGTTATCAATTTTATAAGCTTTATTGATAATGTGATATCTTTGTATTCACTCTCTGAAGAAGCTGTTTATGTTTGTTTTCCTTCACAACTGCATTGTTATTAAGACCACTAGGAGCCTCATTTTTGCTACAATACGTACAACTCGTCTCACACTCCCTCAGCCTCCGTTTTTCACCCAACTGTGACCTTGTAATTATGGCTGAACGACTAAAATCCCAACTCTCAACAGTGCTGTTCAGTAGCTCGTCCTCACTTTACAAGACAACATCGCTTCAACAGTTAATTTCTTTTTTCCGACGGCGGCTTCCAATATAAAGCTCCTGTTGTGTTCCTGAATCCCGGCAGTGTTTGCACCAAGAGCTGTTTTTTTTTTTTTTTCATTTGAATGTCCAAACTGTCAGCAGTTGAATCACATTGTGTCAGTCCCATGATACCGCTAAAAACAAAACTGAGATGGTGTGATGTCGAGATCAGAGCAGCAGAGTTCACAAGTTCTGGCTCAGCTCTTTTGGCATATTTGCATAAATTGAAACCTTGTCATATTTGGCCAGCTAGAGGTTGGTGTATTCATCAGTATAGAGTTTGGCCTTTAAGGAGACTTTTATTTATGCAGGGAAACGTTATGCTGACCACGCATGTCGTTTTTCAGCTGCACCCTTTTTCATGCTTGAAGCAGCAACTCGTGTTCACACCTAGTTGTTGTCCTGCAGCTTGGTTTTCTGTATGGATTTTTGCATTTGGACTTTCAGGCCTTCCACTAACTGGTAGCAGCTTTTGTCGTCCTGCCCCGGGGTCACACTCCTGCTCCCTCTGTTTCCATGGCATCTTCCTGTCCCCCAGCTGTCAGCAGGTCTTTCACCGTGCCGCCATGTGGCCTGAGCGCTCAGCCAACAAGGCTCTGTTTGTGGTGCGGCGGGGCGAGGGCTCTTTCAGCTGTCTCATTCCTCTGGTGCTGGATAACACTGGGCCCGGCCCACAGTCTCCACTGCACCCATAACTCACTGCTGCTGCCCTGCCAGCACCCGGGGCTGTCTGTGATGTCCTGTAGGTGTTGCCATCTACCTGCAGATGATGATGGCTCCAGCTCTTACCTATGTCACACCTGAACTGACGAGCGCAGTGAGCTAAAAGCTGTGACAGTAATAATAGCCTTTATTCCCGGCCTTATTTTCAGCCGTTTCCAGAGTCGTGCAGATAAACAGCATGCCCTTGTGCAGCTAAAAAGTCTTCTATGAGGGCTTAAGTGTCCTGCTCAAGGGCAGTCCGTGCAAAGGAAGTGAGCTGTCAACACGTGGTTTGTGAGAACCAGACCCCAGGGCCAGCAATTGTTCAAACTACTTCCACTTTGTTTGATTGTGTTAGTCTGCCATGAGTGTGTGTGTGTGTGTTTGTGATGAGCAGGAATGCAGCGTATGCCAGTCTCTTCCTCGGGACTGCGGTGTCCTCTCACAGCTGCAGGCCATCCTTAACCAGAGGCACCAGTCAGACGGTCATTTCGTGGGACCTGCTGGTGAAAACGGCCTCATTCCCAGACGGGGGTCACAGCTGCGCTCCATACCTCAGCTTCCTCACCTCACACTGCTTTTCCTGGACAACAAGTCCTTGCTCCTGAAGCCCCACTAACACTGTACCTCCTTTGTCAGTGCTTTCACCTCACTCGAAACACTGTCGATACCGGTCTCCAAATGCAAGCAGTGTGAAAATGGCCGCGTTGTTGCGCTAACGGACGGCAAGCAGGCGACTGCACGTCCTGCAGGGTGGTCTGATTCGACACGGCTTCTGAAGGAATTTGCGTGAGTCAGACCCACAGCCAGGTTGCCATTTTTTAAATTTCTTGTACCCAGAGAGAGTTTCACTGACACACACTGAAGTCTCTTATGATATGTTTTAAGCGCCCTGCTTCACCTGAAGTCACACGAGAAATCTCAAAGGTTCTCGATCGGTTCTTGGACAGCATTTGTTAAGGGTTGGGAAAGCAGTTCTTTTTTCTGTTTTAGACTTTCTTAGAAGGGGAAAACCTCATTTAAAAAAAAAACCCTGTGTTCTCAAAACCTCATGCTTTAACCTGGCGCTGTCGCTCTCCTCCTCCGGTCATTCATCCTACCATGGCAATAGATCTATATTTTGTGAGCAAGTGAAGTCATCATCAGGTGTTGGTTGTTTTTGTTTTGTGCCCAACTCAACCACCACCCCTCTGAATCCACCAGAATTTATTTTTCTATTATTTTTGTTTGGCAGGTTATTGCTTGAGCGTGGGTGTAACGTTTTATTTTAAATTATGAACGCCTCTTTTCAGAACTAACATTTTCGAATCGTGTCACGCAAACTGCTTTCAATGCACCATCCTCTGTCCTGTTGTTTTAGGATTCCCAGTAGTCACAGTCACTCCTCCATGCTAATACAGTATCTAATGCACCACTAATTTGCTTCCTAAGATCCATGTATCAACATTTTTTTTTTTGTTTTAAATCTGGTGTATATAGTGGACTGCTGAGAGGTTAAACCAGCATCATGTAGAAAGAATATAAGGCTTATTTATGTTGAAATAACTCTCCAAACTATCTCACTTGCCTACTATCAGCTAGTATCCGCCACGCCAATCCCACTTAGCAGGGAGGAATAATAATCTGTCTCTCCACACAAACAGACACACTTTCACTTGGTGTTTGTTGTGAACTTGTTTAGCCCTAGTTGCCCCCCCCCCACCCCCCGATGTTTTTTTTTCATGCCTTTGTTTAGTTTATATTAGATTGTATTTGATTAATTGCTTTATTTATTTGATAGCAGATCTGTGCCAAGGGAAATACCCTTTTATTAAAGTATGAACCTGTTCCTTATAAACTGACTTGACTGGTTTCTGGAGTCACTTTAGTTATTATCAGCGCACACATTACACACAGTACAGATTTGCAAGACAGTGAGAAGGATGTTTTCCACAGTGTCCCATTAAAACATTAAAAATAATGTGATTATTAGTTATTTATGTGAAAAATTAATGCATTCATATTTGTGCACATTGAAGAGGTCCACCACGACTGGTCAAATACCTTTGTCACATCAGTCATCCTTCTTACTGTCGTTTTTATTTTCATACTTGGAACTAGACACCACATCTTTATATGTATGTGCTTAACACACTTTGAAGGTCCTGCTCTGGTCGTTGATTAAAACTCCTAAAAACTCATCTCTGTGCATCAAAGTTAAATATTTACAAGTTTTGAAAATTAAAATAATAACTTCCCGCCTTAAAAAAAAGTAACGACACTGTTGCTTCCCGTAGTTTGTGCAGATGAAGTATGAAGTATGAAGTCCTCACGCTGCAGCTGGAGCACACCTGCACACCTACAACTGTACTCAAACACTGCAAAACTACTCTGTGCCCCAAAGTGACAAGCTGTAATATCAGAATAATTCAGTCGTACATATTCAAACTGGAACAAAATTTTAAAAAAAGAACAATGCCACAGAATGTCAGACCCTGCCAGCTGACCAGAACCAGATCTTTAGGTTTATTACACATGAAGTTCTAGACGTGTGAATCTATGTTTTTGAGACCGTCAGCACAGTAGCTTCATGTGGAAATACTCAGCTGTGACATTGCCTATTTTAAATTTATATATACTGATATATATTCTAGTGTTTGAGAAAACACCACATGGACATGTTAACAAGATATAAAACTTTACCAGAGAGGGGTCTTTAACACTATTCAGGACTTTTGGGGTCATTTGGACCCCAGGCCATTTGGTTTAGGTGACAGGTATTTTTTTATTTTTTATTTTTTTAAAGATTTCTTTCTGTAATATAAAAAGAGGAACAATTGTCATGCATGTGGAACCCAGATTATGTCAACTTATGAAAAAAATTAAAGTATAAAAGGTTACAATGAATATCAACAAATATTTTGCACATATTCTGTCTTTGGGTCCAATAGACCCCGAAACAATCTACGTATGAGACATGAAAGTCCTGAATAGGGTTGAAATGATTTGCATACCTTTCACTGACTCATGGACTCTGTAGATGACCTTTAGCTGCCCTTTTTAACAAGTTTTACCTTCTGTTTAACACAAACATGGCTGCAATAATTACAGAATGTTTAACATATTACAAATGAATAACCCGGTGATTCATCCATTCAAAGTGATTCAGTACACATTTTTATTTATTCTTTAAAAGGCACTTGTATGCAGCAGCTCCGACCCACATCCACACAATTCTGCAAGAAGTTCTGGTTATGACCAAAAAGGGCTGATTAAAAAAAGTAAATAAAAAAATCAAATTTCAATTGAATGCTGATTAAGTTCCTCACACAGCTTGCACCTTTTTGTGGTGTATCTTCTTTTAATTTCCCAAGAAGTAAGCTGGACAGATGAGGAGGGTGACGGGGGGGGGAGGTGTGTGTCTGCGGTGACGTAAATCTCCTCTCCACTGTATCTGAACCGGTGGTGTCACACGGAGCTCCCAAATCTGGCTGACCACAGCCAGCTGCTCACCACGCCACGCTCTCGACATGAACACACACTTTCATCTGCAGCTTAGCAGCTTATCTCTGGTCATGGCAACCGCAGAGAGTCTGCCTCTCGGCAACGTGATACGGCTTCCTCTCACGAACACGGCTATTTGTGTGAGAGAGCCAGTGTAACCCGCAGAACTTGTATCGTCGTTACAAATGGTTTCTATCCTAACACAGCTTACCAGGTTATTATTATCGCTGCTTTACACATCTCAGCTATTAAAGGCAGCAGGCATCCATGCTCGAGGTGTAAAGTAAGTGGCTACGTTTATACAAGCAGGATTTCCTTAAGGGTTAAAGTGAAATAGCAAATGTGTCTGGCTTTAACTGTGTTTTAAGTGTTTTAGGAAGATAGACTTGGTTTGGAATTGTAAAATTAATCTCTTTTACTAGTTTACTGCATAAGGCTGAAGAGGAAAAAGAATTTGAGATAAACTGAAAAAAGCAACTAACATCTGGAAACTTTTCTTTTGTTGTATCAATTGATAAACTACAACTTTATCTTTTGGAGCATCAACCCGGACGTCTGCAGGAGGCAACAGATCACAAAGAAGGGCTTTAACATTCAAACTATATGATTTTGCGAGATCTCCATTTTTATCAGATGCACTTTTAAAGTCACCTCCTATGATAAGACAGGCTTACTTGTACTTATCCTGGTGATTTTTAAATTTCAAAGATGGAAGAGCAGGTACAGCCCCGGTCTGAGGTGGCCTGCATACAAATGACCGTACAATAAAGAAGCTCTCCAACTTGCAGCGATGAGTCTTTGAAAGTAATTCTGTCGTGTATTAAACAGCATGGTAATTCCTGCAGGATGCTGCTGTCCATCGGGAATATAAAACCGGACACACGTTGAGTTGAACAACGTTTTCTTTGATTGTGTTGCATCTGTAGACAAAGAAAAAAGGACGACACACATGTGAGCATAAAGTAAAGTTTCACAAGATCTGGGCAAACCTAATAAATTCCATACTTGCTCTGTGTGAAGATGTCTTGCTACATTTGCCATAACTAATGAAAACCATGACGACGGAGTATTTCAGTGGAAGGAAAACACAGGTTCGAACCGCAGCCCTGACCCTTTGGTCCGCTGAATGCTTCAAGCTCTTTAGGAAATCAAAGTTCCCAAACCACCAGCCAAAAACGATTAACCCTAAACGTGTGAATCTCTGACAGTCTTTTAGTAAAGTGCTGACACATTGTTTTGCCGTAGTGTGAACCACAAGATTTATTTAGTCCTCTGCTGTGAGAAATGTTCAAAACCTTCTTTCCATTCATCTTCATTGCCAGTCTCAGATGCGTTATAGCCAAAGGGGCCATTTCCTCCTGTATCCTCCTGCATCATCTCTTCTCTGTAGCCTGGCATGAGACTACTTCTTCTTCTTCTTTTTGACATTTTCTTCATTTTTTTTTTTTTTTTTTTTTTTTTTTCTTTGATCTGCGCTCCTTTCAACTCTTCACATATGTTGGTAATAGCCTTGGTGTTCATGGAGATTTTCTTCTCCAGTGCAGAGTAACGGTTGGATAATGCATTCACGCCTTTTGAAATGACAGCAGTGGAGACAGTGTCCTTCCTCTCATCTGTAAGCCTGTCTCTGCTGCTCAATCTCTTTGGCTCAGAACTCTCTGTAAGTGTGTCAGGTAAAAGAGTTAAGGGTGCAAAACATGTTGAACAAGTTCAAACTGAAGTTTGCTTTGGAGTTCTTAAAGGGGCCGTGGTTTGCAAAATTCTGTTTCTCATTGTTTTTGAAGATATTGACACGGCCCCAGCGTGTCTGGAGACCCACAAATTATGAGATAATACCATCCCCTTGTTTCTTTCCTTTCTCCATATGTTGGAAATTGTGTCTCCTACACAAACCACACAACAAACAGAAACCTCAGAGGCTGAGAAATGAATGACCACTTGAACGATTACATCCCCATAAACATCCATTTTAAAATGCAGCAGAAATAAACAACCTGGCACGAAAAGCATTTCTGATTTCTATCATTCATTTCCCCTTTCATGACAACTGTACATGGTGAATTTTTATATAACTCACCTGTTTAAATTGTATTAAGCCTTAACTTTACGCATGAATAAGGGTCCCTTTGAGAGACAGGTTACGCTCACAGGACAGTCCATCCAACAGAGACATTTGTATGATTCGCCTCAGCGCCACTCACGCTTCAAATTTTTGCTGATTTTTGGGAAGGAGTGTGGTCAACAGTAGCTGAAGGATTTAAATAAACAGTTACTTTTACTGAAACCAGGAATATTATAGACGCGGTAGAAGTCATGATCTGTGCAGTATTTTAAGATGAAGCTTGAAATTCTGGTTCACCAAAAGGAGGATCTTTAAGAAAGGGGATCTACATTTGAAGAGTTCATTTGCAAAAACAGATAACTCCATTTTTGTAGATTTTCAGAAAATGTATTTTTTTTGTTGTTTGCTTGAGATAATATCAATCAAACTGAAATTGAGTGGATGTGACTCAGTAGAAATGACAAAACTAGAGATAAGTTTGGTTGATGTTGTCTCAGGTAGACGATGGAAAAGTGGGTTTTCTGAAGGTTTGTGAAGATGGAGTTATCTGTCTTTGCAAATGAACTCTTCATTTGTTAACTACCTTGCATTTCAAAGTGGTGTACATCCACATTTTCTTTACTCTGCATCTGTTTTTTCCTTTTGCTCTAAGAACAGCAGATCTCAGTCTCCTCCTTCTAGGCTGCTGTAGATTCAGATGCAGAATGTCGGTACTTATTAGGTGCCTCTCCACTGCAGGAACTTATGACAGCCATGAGGCGATGTAAACATGCAGGATTCACTGGTGCAACAGCTTCAACCGCAGAGCCGAGTCTGAGCACGACAAAACAAAACAAACAACGAAGAGAACCGAGGTGGTTGCTGCATTGTTAAGGATGATGTTGGAGAAGACTGCTTCGTTTACTGGTTTTTAGAAAATGGCGCTTGTTGTCTTGTCTGAATTTTACCAATCAGCCTTGAGCCCTGCCCAACAGTTTCTCAACCTACCGAAGAGATTGCATGTTTTCAGCCCTGAAAAAGGTCCTACAGGAGCAGTACCTTTAGCTGGAACACACACAAAGGTTCAGGCCTCTAACGTGGCGTTGATCGATTGACAGCAGTCATAGCAACAACTATGTGATTTGACTCAACATATCAGACTTTGACAATAATTTATAGACTCTTTGACAAGTGGTCACGAATCCAAACTGCACTTTGAGAACCACTGCTCCACAGTACGGCAGAACTTTATATCGTTACTGTGCTGCATTACACAGAATAATATTGTACTACACTACACATAATCTACAGTA